GAATCCTTTAATTGGACCCTTATGATTTTGAAGAAATCCTCGGGTAGAGAAGTAGGAAACAAGAACAGTCAGTTACCCGTGTAGATGACTAAGACCCAGTCCCTGCCCATGAGCGATTCTACTGTGGCAGGCATGAAAGCAGGTGGGTCAGTCAAGCAATGATGGAGCTACTGTAGAGAGGTACTGGAAGGTAGGCCTGGTGCACCCAGAGAAAGGATGCTTCACTCAGTTTGGCAGCCGGGGGGGGGTCGGGAGGGGCTTGGTGAGGAGCAGAGCATCTATGCAGCTAGCCAGAGGTCCAGACTGCAGGAAGTATCAAAAGATGGTAGGATCAATTAGAATTAGAAGGCAACATGTCAGCACCTTCCAGCCGTTAAGAGGACCCAGTGGGTAGAAATGGAAAAACCAAACAAAAATAAGACAAGGAGAAAGTCCTTCCTCCCTTCTGACCCCATGGGACTCAGCAGAGGCTTGCTAACGGACTCACCTGCTGCACGGATAAGAGATGGGACCAACCAGGGGCAAATGGATGTGAGGAGGGGTAGAGGGAGAAGAAGAAGGGGAGACAGAAGTCACAATGTTGTCAAGATTTCAGAAGCTGAAAGGCACGAGATCTCACCTAGGAACAAGGCAGGGAAAGGACATGAAAACCACAGCCGTCTCCTAGGCATGCCCTAGGAGACACCCACCAATCCTATCTCACCTCCTCCCTAGGACCTTCCATGGCCACTCTGCCTTGGGGTGGTTTGTGGTCAGTTTTGCCATTAAAACTTCTACCTAGAGGTAGAAAAACTTCAGGTCAGTTCTGATCACACTGAGTCACCTGCACAGTGGAACACACTGCTTTCTTACCACAACCTGTGGACAACAAATTCCTACCATAGGTTTCATGCATGTGGGCTGCCCCTCATACATAATACTTAAAGCTATGCGATGGCAACCTTATACCAATGCAGATCCCTTCTAAAACTCTGCCAAGCTATGATGCCTCATCTCCCTAAGTTCACCCCACTACCAACTCCTTACCACCAACTCCTCCAACATGCTTGGAACCCTAGAAAAATGGAAATGTCCTAATGTTTGCCGTTGAGCCACCTAACTCACTCTGCCATTTCCCTCTATGGTGTACTTTCTCTCTATTGAACTCCACTGGTGTGTGTGTGTGTGTGTGTGTGTGTGTGTGTGTGTGTGTGTGTGTGTGTGTGTGAGGGTTAAGGTTAGGGTTCGGGTTAGGCTTAGTGTTAGGGAGATCTTCACCTCTGTGACCACTCATTGGTAAC